ACCTTTAAAAGCTTTTTAAAAGGGAAGCAAAATTGTATGCCGTCAAGACAACTTCTGACTGTCTGAATTCCCAGCAGTGACAGCAGCCGTGTGGTGCCTGCTGGGAGGGAGGGAGGCTGGGGCTAAGGTTCCCAGCCAATGAGAACTCTCTGTTTTCAGCCCGGGAAATTTTGATCTGCAGGGCAGTGAACCAATTGCAAGCCATTCACCGGCTGTCATTGTCACAGACTTTTTTTCACTCTGTCAGCACAGAGGAACATGTGCTTCCCCTCCCCCTGCCTTCTCCCATGCGCGCCTGGAAAAAAACTGCTTTGCAGGAAATGTTCTTTTGCAGGGGAGTGGGCTAACCACCTTTCCCCCCAATGCTGGCAGGAGACACACAGTCATAAGAACATAAGAGACGCCAATGTTGGATCAGGCCAAAGCCCATCCAGTCCAACACTCTGTCACACAGTGGCCAAAAATACCAGATGCCATCAGGAGGTCCACCAGTGGGGCCAGGTCATTAGAAGCCCTCCCACTGTTGACCAGTGTTCCCTCTAAGCTGAGTTAGTGTGAGCTAGCTCACAGTTTTTAAGCCTTTGGCTCACAGGTTTTTGTCTTCGCTCAGGGAGGATGGCTCCAGAGCAAACTAATTTATGCAGTAGCCAAATCACTCACTCACAACTTTTATGCCAGTAGCTCACAAAGTAGAATTTTTGCTCACAAGACTCCACAGCTTAGAGGGAACATTGCTGTTGACCCCCCCCCCCAAGCACCAAGAAGACAGAGCATCACTTGCCCCAGAGCCCCTATCTATACGTTGTGGCTAATAGCCACTGATGGACCTCTGCTCCATATGCTTATCTACCGGTAATTCCCTTTTGAAGCTGTCCATGCTTGTAGCTGCCACCACTTCCTGTGGCAGTGAATTCCATGTGTTAATCACTCTTTGGGTGAAGAAGTACTTCCTTTTATCTGTTCTAACCCAACCACTCAGCAATTTCATTGAGTCCTCAAAAGCAGCACATACATAGGGCAGGAAATGCTCTTTTCAGGCAGGGAAATGAAATCTTAAGGAAATAAAAGTCACACTCTTCAGGAGAAAAAGGAGGGGGGTTTCCTCAGGGTTTCCTCAGAGATTGTAGCCTGAGCTGCATGTGTGGGGGGAAAACTGAAGAGGAGATCTAAGTGAGAAAAATGGGGATTGGGCTACATGGCTAAAGAAGACTGAATGAGGAGATGAACAATACTTGTAGGAATGGGAGGGGGTTGTTTAGTGGGGGGAATGAAGCAGAGGATTCAACTAGGAGAATCTGGGAGGTGTGAATGGGGATGAAGAAGTCTTGCAGGGAACTGAATCTGTAAAGAGAACATATTTTTAATACTTGCGAAGCAGGTGAGGTTCTTCATTGGGTAGAGCTGAGGGGAGTGTATAGTGTGAGATATTTGTAAACCCCTCCCCCTCCATTTTTGGAGGCACCAGCTGCCTTTTCGCATTATTAGTAGCAAGCAGCATTTAGATGTGCTTATCCCTGATATTTAGTCAGTACATCTGAATAGAGAAACATAGCTTGCTCTCCTTTTGTAATGCTTCATGCTTAACCTTGATTGATAATATGCCAGTATTGCAGTTAGCTGAGTCATCCATTAATACTTCATGCTTTTCATATTGTTCCTTTCACAGAGGTAAATGACATCTCAGTTTCTTGGATGAGGCACAGAATGCTCCTTCCTCTATTCTAACACTGTCTTGTATTGCTACATGTCACAGTTTATTTTGGGCTGGAAGCTTTCACTTTATACATCAGAATAGCTCAGAGATGAAAATATCTTGCTAGGTTTTCTATATGTGTGGTGTGTGTGTGTGTGTCCTTTCATTCCATCACAACTGGTGGTCACTGGCTATCATTGTTGGCATCGTGTTAGTTCTCTCTCTCTCTCATTTGGCTGTTTAATTGTGTATCCATCATATTTGTATTCTTTCTCTGGGGCACTCAGGATGACATTGGTTGCCTTCACTCATTTCTTCTTTCTAACAGACTTGTTGTGAAGCCAAAATGCCACCTGCTCTAAAGCCACCCAGTAAGTTCTTGATTATCAGAGAAAGGCACAAAGAGAATGCACTTGGATAAGCCTCCCCAGGAAGACTATTCCAGAGAATGAGTACTAGTACGGAGAGGGCCTTGCTTCATGAACTGAGAAGACTTTGCTTCATGAACTTGCTTCGCACACATAATCTGTTGCTGAACTTCCTCAGACTAGTTTTATTGCAAAAGCAGATTCATATGGCAGGAGTATTTGTTTTGAGAGAGAAGCATAAATATACATTTGATTGTGTCCATTTGTGCTTTGTTTACTGCAACATAGTAGTTAATGTGTCATTCTTCTTGTCCAATCACTGTTCATTGGAGAGAATATCTGATTTGGGAGAGATCACACTGATTTTAGTGAAATATGATTTACAGATTAAGAGAGATCCTGCATTCAAATCCATGGAAAAATTTCCACCCCATGCGTTTAAATATAGTTTTTGTTTATAGTTGTTAGGGCTGTTGTTCTGCAGATCAATCATGTTCGATGGGTTAAATGTCGATGAAGCACAGACAAACTCCAGTGCTCAGTGCAGTAGCCGATGAAGGAACTGACAAGTAAGGTAGACATGTCCTTCTTATGCACAATGCAGTTGGCTCATGGGTATAGGGCAAGCTTGGCTTGTGTATGGTATATTTGCTTTCTTTGCTGACAATAACAAGATAGATTCCGCTGGGTAGCCATGTTGGTCTGAAGCAGCAGAACAAAGTTCAAATCCAGTGGCACCCTTAAGACCAGCAAAGTTTTATTCAAGGTGTAAGCTTTCATGTTGATGCACACTTCTTCAGATACAATGAAATGGATGTTACCTGTGCATACATATAAGAAGAAGAAGAAGAAGAGAGTGGATTTATACCCCGCCCTTCACTTGGAGTCTCAGAGCGGCTTACAAACTCCTTTCCCTTCCCCTCCCCACAACAGACACCCTGTGAGGTGGGTGGGGCTGAGAGAACACAAAGTGCTCTTTTTTTCCAGGACAGCTGTGCCAGAGCTTGTGACTGACCCAAGGTCACATCAGCAGGTGCAAGTGGAGGAGTGGGGAATCAAACCTGGTTCTCCCAGATTAGAGTCCGCACACTTAACCACTACACCAAACTTGCTCTCATATAGGTAGAGAGAGAGCAGTAAGTTAGCATAGAACATCTGTTGTTTCATTTTCCTGAAACACAGAGGGCAGTGCCTCATTCCTTCTGTTGAGCTGAGGAAGGTAAAAGCATTTGCCTAAGATGTTTAACAGATTCAAGGACCAAAAAGGAATAACAAGCTTAGTTTATATGATTACCATTTGTTTGAGTTTAATTCCAGAGAATAGTGAAGGAAATAAATATATCAAAAGTGGAGATTGATGGGCAGTTGTACCCTTCTTAATTGTGGAATGCTGAGATTAATTAACTGAGACCTTGCCATTATGCTTCATCCATCTTTGCAAAGAAACTTCAGGAACAGACTAGAAAGGGAAATTGCTGAGTTGCAAGTTGTTACAACACTCAGAACAATGGAATCCCCAGGACTTACCAGGGATATTGGTTTCTTAACTCACTACAAATGCTAAGCTCATTCACTCCTTACTCACCAATCCTCCTGAAGGACTATATATCCTCTTTATTTTATTTCTTATTTGGAATAGTAGATTGTAATGTAATGAATAGTAAAATGTCATATAATTTGTAATGGTAGATTGGAATGTATTTCTCTGGTCAGGGGACAGGGGAGATATTCTACACAGCCAATTGCCCCACTTCAAAGAAGATGCTGCTGTAAGGTTGCCTTCACGCTTGAGAGCTGGTTGATGGAGTGTAATGGCAGGGTCTTAGTTACTTACTCTCAGCATTCCACAGTTAAGAAGGGTACATCTGCCCATCAATCTCCAATTTTGATATATTTACTTCCTTCACTATGTTTTCCCCTGGAATGAAACTTAAACAAATAGTAACCATATAAGCTAAGCTTGTTATTCCTGTTTGGTCCTTGAATTTATTAAACATCTTCATTATGTTGTATGCTAATTTACTGCTCACCCTCTACCCGGTAATTTCCTTTTCATTGTATCTGAAGTAGTGTGTGTACACACGAAAGCTTATACCATGAATAAAGCTTTGTTGGTCTTAAAGGAGCCACTGAACTTGAACTTCATTCTCATTCAATATCAAGCTGAACTGAAACTGAAACTAAAACAGATTATTCTTTATTCCGTTTTCCTGGAACACAGAGAGCAGTGCCTCACTCCTTCTGTCGAGTCGGGGAAGGTAAAAGCATTTGGCTAATGCTTTCTAATGAAGTGGTTCTGAATCAGATTTTGCTCAATCTGAAATGGGGCTTATAAGCAATGCAGAGAGTGACAGTGAAGCTGAGTGTGCCACCTCAGTGAAAGAAAATTAAACTCTGTCAATATAAGATGGATAGCTGTTTGGGTAGCCAAAAATAGTGTGTTCAGTAGTAATTTTCAGGGTTTTTGTTTCAAGCAACACAAGGAACTGTATACTGTTGTCTTTACATACATGTCTTTGTATTTTTATTCCCGTAAAATAAAATGCACATAAATCTTTGAATGCGGTTGAATATAACATTATATTTTATTCTTCATTTAATTTCCCTGTAATCAGATATTTCAATTCAAGTACTTTGTGGCTATTGGGGAAACTTTTGATATATTTATACTGAACATTAAATTGACATTGGTTACATTTTTAGTCCTGTTTACTAAATATGAGACTTTGTGTGCCTGTTGAGGAAAAAATGTGCGCTGGAGAGTAAAAAATGAGTAAAAAGATGTAAAATCAGATCATATTATTTAAAGTACTGGAAATTTTTCCAATTCAAATTTTCAGAGAAAACTCTCATTGCTGCTGGAGTGATGGCATAAAAAATTGCTAAATAAATAAACTTGCCCTTGAACAATACGGTGATAATTGAATTGTTTTTTCTAGGCTTTGTTGGAGGTTGTGTTTAGGGCAAAGGTGGTTATAACAGGTGATGGATTCATTCCGGGAGAAAGAAGTGTTATTATCATGAACCACCGAACACGAATGGATTGGATGTTTTTGTGGAACTGCCTGCTGAGATACAGCTACCTCAGACTTGAAAAAATATGCCTCAAATCTAGTCTCAAAGGCATTCCAGGATTTGGTAAGGCATCAACATAATAAAATATTTTTGCATTTTTGGTATTGTTTGTTGCCTGATACGCTATTTTACCATGTTTAGTTTTAGCTCTTCTTTTTTCTCAGTGATGGGTTTTAATGTTTCTTTGTTTTTTGTCTGTAGATTTTATCCAACCAAACACTGGCACTAATGAAACATTTTCCTCATGTTCTCCTTCCACCAGCAGTTCACTTTGAGCCCTAGAAAGATGGTTCCTATAGTAATGAGACCTGCATTAACAAAAAGGCATGTGGGTTGTAGGGCTGCAGTGAACATGAGGAATTGAGCAAAACTATTTCCTCTTCCATGCCTTATGAGTACAAAACAAATAATAGGGCAATTTCTCCAAATTTCTCTCCTTGTTGCTGTAGACCCCACAACCCTCATGGCTTTTGGCCATATGGGTCCCATAAAATAGGTATGTTTTTTCCAGGGGACAAAAAGGGGAAAGAGAATATGGGAGAAATCCACATCTGACAGCAACTTCCATGTTAGTTGGGTATCTTCTTGAGTGCCCCAATGGTTCTGTGGATCCATGTGCAGGGGAAAATAGTTTTGTTTAATCTTTAAACATTAGGCTGGTGTCCCAAAAGGAAATTCCTTTAGATGGAGGAATGCTCTGCATTTAGCTGAGCAGAGCAGTAGGATCCAACATGCTATTTGCTATTTTACTATTATTTAGTTTTGGCATATTCTTCTGGGATAGTTTTTAAGGAGATTTTCTAAGCTACTGACTGATATATATACATATGGAAATATAACGGAAATCTTCATTTCCATCCTACTTTAGTATGTGTTGTTTCAAGCTTTCCATCTCAGCAGAACTTTAATAGTAGAGGCAGCAATATAATCATGTCTCTTCATTACTCTTTGCCAATTAACTTGTGGAATGTATGACACAGTTCACTTACTGCTCAATCAACTGGTGTAATGATAATAAACAAAGAAATCCTGGAGAGTATTTGCGTTTTTATTACTTCCATGTTTTAAATCATTCTTTTTGTTTCTTGTCAGTCATAAGCAAGGAAGACTTTAGATTTTATTGTATTAATATTTTTCAGAATCCTTCAATCATTATTAGGGTTTATGGGTAATAGCAATTTTATACTCAAATGAAAATCCCTTCAGTGATTACACTAAAATTAATATGGATAGATGTTCTTCATTTCTTCGGCAAAGGCCCTGTCTTGAAAAGGCCTAGTTAGTAGTAATACTGAAAGCTTAAGAGTAGGGTGGAAGGGAGAAGAATTAAGTATGTGAAGTAAAAATACTTGAAATTCATTTTTTTGTGAAGTATATGAACATGAAAAGTAGCTTTCTATGCTTTTGGTGGCAACACTCTTTTTATTTTTGTATAAAGTTTTATTTCCCTCTCCTAAAAAGGAGAGAATTTCAGTTTACTTAGAAAAATAGGGAGGGGATATAGAGGGATAAAGAAAAGTGTTGAGTGATGTTAAGTGTTAGTAAATTAAACTTTTCAAATTTAAAGTTAAAGTCAAAGTTTTTTTCTGTGAATAGGTGATCTTCTTTTTCTTCTTTAATTTTCAAAAAAAAATAGTTAATATGTTAGTAATGTCCTTTTGGGGTTAGAATTACTTTTACAGCATAGTCCAAAACAGTTAATTCTTGGGGCCTTTCCCTTTTTTATCTCTCAAGTTATACTTTGTGCCAGTCGCTCCTTTGTCTTCCTCATCCTTCACCTCTCCCTCAGAACTGCTGTCTTCTTCGCTGTCTCCCGGCATCCACTTGGCAAGTTCTGCTTCTTCTTCTGAACTGACGTGCCTCTTCAAAAAGTCTTGAGCTTTAAAGATAGAGTCTATCTTTTCTCTTCTGTCTTTAAATTTAAAGACCAGTCCTTCTGGCACCAACCATTTGTAACTCACTTGATGATTTTGTAAGAACATGGTCAACCCTTTATATTCCTTTCTCTTCATTCTGATTTCAAATGGAACATCTTTCAAAATTCTTATCGGTTGATCTCCAATTTTCAAGGGTGTTGCCGAAGCTGCTTTTAAGATCTGATCTCTGAGACGTTGCTTTGTAAATTTCACTACCACTTCTGCAGGCAATTTATTTTTCTTTGTGAAATTGGAATAGGCTCTATAAGCCAAATCCTTATAGGCTCTATAAGCCAAATCCTAATAGGCTCTATAAGCCAAATCCTCTTTTATTTTTTCCGCTTGATTGCCAGTGGTGGCAACACTCTTAAGAACCTTGTACACCTACAACTTGTACAGGATCATGCCTTCTAGAGACAGGGAACTCTGTTGTCCTTATGCATTAGGTCTTTCCTTTTGGCAAAGCATGACTGCTAATTCAGTGTGTGGTTGGATTCCACAAGAGTACTGTTCATTGGGTGCTGTACTGATGGAATGCTTCAAGAATGGAGTCTGTTCTTACCTACAAAGCCTTTGTACTAGTTAGGAATTGCAGCAAGGGAATTTCTTCTTGCTTTTGTAAGTATGTGATACGGAGCTACCCAGTTTCCCCCCATTTGCCTTGTATTGCATGTCTAGCAGGATAAAACACCATTACTTACATGACCAGATAGGCAATTTAAATATGTAAGCAAGTATTTTTTGAGAAAATTATGCAGTTGATGTTGGAAAGTGTGATGAACAGGAGGCTGTCCTGCCCCTGAAGGGGAAAACAAGCACTCAGCTGTTTCATCTGTGAACCTATGGGAATGCTGCTCCAGCATCCAGTCACATTTCAGAGGCAGGATGGAATGTTGGGGGGGGAAGCACAGGAAGAGCTGAGTTCAGATTTGCTTCTGGGAGAGTACAGAGATAGTTTTGGGTCTGCCTTGGTAAAACAGCAGACATTCTGAAGGGACACTCTGCCTGGTAGTGTGGCAAAGTGGTTTACCTCTTCCTCTGGAAGAGGACAGAGTGACCCATTGTGAGGCCTGTTTCTGGTGATGACCAGACCTCATACCACTTAGTCTGACTCCTGAGAAAGGGCAGGCTGGTGTAGGTGGAATCCTGTGTGTCTGAAAGGATCCATATGAGTGGGTAGTCAGTGAAAGCCTGTTTGTAGCTGCAAGCCTTAAAAATAATTCAAACCATGCTCTGAAGCCATAACTTATTTAACTTAATGTAGAAAAGGGTGAGAGTCCAGTAGCTCCTACCCTGCCACAGATTTTGTTAGTCTTTAAGGTGCTACTGGACTTTTGCTCTTTTCTACCGCTAATGTGCCTTGGTCAGGTTTCTTCTTTAATTGCCTGGAAACTTGTGCTGCTGATCTGTTCTCTAAAAACAAACCGTGACATGTGATGCCTTCCTGGAACAGTGACATATTATGTCTTCCAGCAATTTTATCAAGAGTCGGATTTAATTACTTTAGAATTATTTACAATATGAGGTGGATTTGGAAGTGCATTCTGAAAAGTGTTATCTGTAGTGTTATCACTCCTGTAAGATCGTTTACATCCTAGAGAGCCATACCAGACATTTCTGAAGCATAAACTTCATCTTTGCTATACCGTTTTTGCTGGAGGAGAAGCAAAATGAATCTTGAATAAATAAGCAACTTGGTTAGTTGTAATTGCTTGTTTTTGTTGGGGTTTAAAAATAAAGTGCAAGCCTCTCAGGTATTTTTTCTGTAGTCTAGCATTAAACAAATGGGTAAAATGCTGAAGAAACCAAAAACTATCTAGTTCGAACTCCTGATTCTCTTCAGCGGGGAAAAAAGTCCATGCCAAACATTAAAGGACAGGCTCTCTGATTAGAGAGCTTTTATTAAATGACTTTAAAAATAATAATTGTACATGTGTAAAGAAGGCAAGAATTCTTAGTAAGGCTGTTGGGTTCTAATTTATTCCTGACTGTGGATATGAGGATATGAAAACCTTCTTAGATGGGAACTTGTATTATGATACATGTCACCAGCCAGGACAGTGAATAAGATTTAAATACTCAAGTCCAGACCTACCTTTCCTCAGGTTCCAGAAGGAGAAAGTTGTGCTTCACTTGCTACCTAAGATTGTCTCTCTCCATCAGAATCAGTATTTTTTCTATCACTAAAAGTTAAGAAGGAAAAGGCCTGGCATTCTCTGGATGCCAAATATGCCTTTTCCTTTTATTTACCCAAAACATATCAATTTAGAAAAGACGGGAATATCTTTGTGGCCTTTCAGGGACCCAAAAGAGATGGTAAAGTTTACTCCTAGGCAATCTCACAGTGGATTGCATTCCTCATTTGTGAGTGCTACAAGGACAGGCATCTCGTGCCCTCTCAGAGTAACAGCTCACTGTACTAGAGCTCAAGCCCTTTTCTCTGCCTTCAGATATGGTGTCCCTTTGCTTAACAAGATGCATTCAGCCAATATGTGTGAAGCATATGAGTGATGAACATGCACTTTTGCCCACAGAGTAACTTTCATGTGGAAGATTTTGTATGAAGTGAATGGCCCTCCCATATCAAGAATGTGTTGTCCAGTGATCTTTTGTCAAACTTCCAATAGAACTAACTAGCTGTCTTGTTGGTGTGTGTGTATAAATTGTATGGCATATGTAGTATAGTCAGGAGATCCTAACATTGTCTGGCAGCCAGAAATTCTAGCTTTTTTAGCATTATGCATATATGAGGCTGTAAGACAGATGGGATCCAGATATTGTACATTCACAAACTGAAATGCATACTCTGGCTTTTATGTTGCATCATTGGAAAGTGCTATTCCCCAGAAGAATACACTAATGACAGCATATCAGAAGTATACAGTGCAACCTGTTGGCAATGAGTTGAACACACATGTTGCTTTAAAACTACAGTCACCATTGCAATGTTTTCTTTTTGTCATGACCTTCAGAGACTTTTTATGTTATGACAACTTAGTCCTTACACTAGGTTGGAATCTATAAATCTGTTTTGCTCACATTAAAGCCTGCTTACCATGCAAGGTGATATCCTCCAGTGAAACACTCCTTTTCTACCAGAACTTGACTTCCTGCTCTGGAGGAAGGCTATACTGTTAGTGGAGTGGATTCATAGAATCCATTTTAGTGTAAATGTGTACAGTTGAAAGCATTCTTTCCTTAACAGTGTTGCTGATGCTATGATTGGGAGCCAGGAATTATGAATGGAAACAAACAAGGAAATTATACTGCACTGTTAAAATTTGTTCAAACTTATTCTAGGTTGGGCCATGCAGGTTGCTGCCTTCATTTTCATTCAGAGGAAATGGGAAGAAGACAAGAATCATTTTGGAAATATGCTGGATTATTTCTGTGACATTCATGAACCTCTGCAGCTTCTCATCTTTCCTGAAGGAACTGATCTCACAGGTACACTAATTCAGTTGTCTCTTGCTATCAAGATGGTAAAATATTGAACCCCTTATATAGTTTACAAGTTGTAACCTGCAATAATCACAGGGGGGGATCCCTTCTCCCTCTTAGCCGCAGCTCCCCCCCACCATCAGTGGAAACCACTGCCGCTACTTCCCCATCACATTCACTGGCAGTAAACCTGACACACCCTTGGCTTCTCCCACCACATACACCCCCAGCAAGCCTCCTGTCTCTGCCATTGGACCCGCCACATCTCCAGC